AACCCGGTTTGAAATGCAATGTTTCAGGCGTCCTGCTAAGGGGAGGTGATTTACGGCTAAAGGATTTAAATATAACATCATACCTGGTGGCAAGTGAGAAGGCCTCTCTACTGGGTGGCCAGAGGGATTTGCTGCAGGGCTCCTCTGGCAGCTCTGCCTCGGCCTCTGAATGAACCCTCTAAACTGGCCGAAGTTGCTGGCATTTGGAAACCTTTGACTGGCACCACCCCAGCGGTTCCCTCATGTCTCCTGAAGGGGGTGGTGCGGCCTCGAAAAAACAGAGCTGGTCTTGAATTCTGCCCCACAGAAGCAGCTGAAAGTACGGTCTTTGCTGTCTCTGATTTGGTCTTGATCCTTGCTTTGAATCCTTCACCAAACAAACTTTTGCCAGCTTGTGGAAACTCTTCAGAGGCAAGAGATGATAGAGTTCCCTTTGAATTGATTTTGTTAAGGACAGCCTTGCGTCGCTCCTTAGACAAAAGTGTAGAGGCATTGCCCAATAGACGTACATGTATAGCATATGATGTGATTGCTCCAAGATCCTTCATCTGCTCATAACTGAGGATTACGTTTTCAACTGGCTTAGTTTCAGCAAGGAAGCCGTAAACATGCTCAAATAACATGGCTACCGGGCCCATGGTGTCTAACACACGATCCTGCAAAAATTTATTGTCCTTGTCGACAGTCTTGACACCAGGCAAGAGTGATGAGAGATAGTTATCCAAAGAGGGAGTGTAAACACAATCAACATCTGGTACTTTTTAGTAATTGCTTTTCTCTCAAAGGTAGACAATGGCTTATGCAATGTGCCTAAGAATGCTGATAACTGTTCACTTGCTTGCCGGCGAGCGCTATGGCAAAGTTCATAGTGTTCGTCATCCTCTCCCATAGGATGAGAGGTGCCCGGGTTTGTACCATCCGACTCTATTACAACTACCTCGTCAGAGTAGTTTTCTGTCCCTCTTCGTGTTTTAGTCGCCGGGGTATAGGTAGTGGTGTCATTTTCATTTGCTGAGTGAGCCCTGAACACTCTGGCAGAGTTTGATTTCGTAACAGAACTTGGAGCCTTGGGTGCTCCGTAGACACAATCTTCGTGTGAAGAACCATTAAAAGCTTGCCAAAGCAAATTTAGAGCTTCTGGATCACTAAAAATGAGGGAGACAGGACGTACACTACCTTCCCCTTCCTTCGGCTCAGCTCTTTGAAGTGAGATGGCTGTATCATTTGAAGGATTGTCATCACCACGCTCAGAAGCAGACATCTTGGTTCAGAGCGAAATAAAATGGTGGATTGGTGTGGTATGGCGTAGGGACTTATGGGCTGTTTGAATTATGTTAATTATGTCAATTGTTGAAATTTGCTTTTAATGCGCTGTATTTCCGAGTGAAATAAAGTTGGTAACACATTGTTATATGAGGCAACTGTTCTGAGGTATAATCTTGTATAACATCAAGGGTCCATCAAACATACTCAGTCAAAGGGGATGTTACGAGTTACAGCAATAATTTGTATTGACATGTAATAGCCCCTGCTTTGGAGTTTCCTTACTGAACAGTAGTTCCTAGCAAAAAATACCGAAATCATAATTTGCTGTGGGCCATGAAAGGAACCTTACCAAGTTTCTTCTGATACAGTGGACGAGTGGAGTCCGTGATTGGTCCTGCAGCGGCGCCAAAGGATTTCAACTGCCTTGCAAGATCACCATCAGACAAAGCTGTCACATCGAATGGAAGACCACCTTTCACTCTTTTATTGAGTACAATCTTTTGTGGTGGCTTACTAGGAAGTTTCTGCAATTGAATTGCCATAAATAGTAAAACAGATGGTTCAGGAACACAGTCTTAGTTGCCATGTACTACTAGGCAATGGCAACGTATAATTTTCTCTCCCAAGAGTACGGTAAGAGATTAATACAGGCCAGGGTACACAGGGGTTTCATTTAGGGTAGGGCACCGGCCAAATTGACTGGCTGTGAGGTTGATTTTTCCCACCTGGTTTGTCCATCTGGAGGAAAGATTTTCTTATAAAAAAAGTTCAGTTCAAAAAGTTTTGCCTGCCTGTGAAAACCAGTTGCCCTCTGAAAAACATTAATAAAAACCCCTGGGGTACACTGTGGCTGTGCTGGAGTTGAAATCAGAATGAAAATACACAGCAATTTGCTCATATTTTTTTCTCCTAACAGCAGAAGTTCTATGGACTTTTAAAATCTCCAGTTCTTTTCCATACCAGCCAATATTAATCTGCATAGGCTTGATTACTAACTGCTGTTCAGGAAAATGACCCTGCACATCTTCCCCTGAACTCCCTTTTCAGAGGGAACCTTCAGAACCAGGCCCAAGAGAACGTCAAAAATCAAGCCTATCATCTGCATCATTTCCTGCACTTGCAAACAGAAAGTAGAAATATTTTTTGTTGACACAATGTGAGCAGTTCTTGACTCATTTTTTATATTATTCTTTTATTTGTGCAGAGGAATTTACACGTAATGCAATGCAAATTAGACAGTCATGTCATAGGTAATTTTGCGCTCTTGTCTGCCACAAATACTTTTCATATTGCCTCAAACAAGTTCTGAGACATTTCACATGCTTGTCTGATGTGTAACCAGGGCACCACATACGGAGTAGACACATACGGAGTAGCAAATCGGTGTACATACATTGTGTGACATTTGCAGACTACATTTGGGACAAAATAGCATTCTGGTTAGCCTGAATAGCGCTCAGGTTAGCCTGTTTACAGTTAGCTCTTGGTAAACGAATTGGGAATACTTACATGTAAGAACATGAAGACTTAAAAAGTCTGCAGTCTGCAAATGTCATACACCGGTAGAAAATATAACAAAATCTTTTGTAAAATGGAGAACAAGAACTACTTGCCAGCTAGAAGTAATGATAGTTAACCTAAGATTGTATTGTATTCCTCTGATACTGGGAAAACTGTTTACTAACAATCACCAATTTTACTGCACCTCAAGACTTCAGAAACAAGTTACAACTTTCATTCTATTCTGTTTGATTGGCATTATCTGTTTGATTAAATAAAGGTTTTTGCCAACTAGCTGACTAGCAACAATTAACATCATTGTGCAAGCTATTGTTTTTAAATCGGTTTATAATAATTAATTATACCCAACAAAATAAAAACGCCCAAAAAGACCCATTTAGCAATAAAGGGAAGTAAGATTAAGGAAAATTCGACATCTGCGCTACATTTATGTGTAAGCTTATTACTTTTTGACATTTACAACCAATTTATTCCTCACCTGCTCTGGCATTTTGAAGTACAGAAATAACAATAACAAACGATGCCAAGTTCTGTTTGCTAGAGTTTAACCATTGTTTGTATTCTACGCGCCTGCAAACGCATGGATATTCGCCGATTTTGAGAGTTGGAAACGATAAAAGATTGAGAAGAACATCAAAAGCTTAGCAAGGAGAAAATCCCTGAGACGAAACCTCTCGTACGTTTTCCAAGCTTAAGGAAATAAAGCCGCATTCTGAATGAAACCTGCTGTTTGGCTTGGAACAACAAATCACAACGAGTTTGAAAACGCACAAGTTAACCGCGTCAAAACCGCAGACGCTTATACCAGACCCATACTGCAAACGTCCTCCAAGCTATCTTAAAATATTAAAATATTACAGTAGAATACATTAATGAAGAGCTCGAGTACCTCACTGGCTCGCATCGGAGAATACTCGGACGATTCATCATCATCTGATGAAAATTCCTCGTCGTCGTCTTGGGAAGTCAAGTGCTCGAGGTACAAGTCGACATAGAAAGCTTTCTTTTGCTCCGCTCTCGGCAGAGGAATATTGTTGGCTCTCAAGGCACTCTTTAATCTTTCCTTTGTTAGCAGATGTGGAGTTTTGGAGAAGGTTGACATTCTGTAAAATGCACTAAAACTTACCAAGACAAGAGCACGATTTTGTTCAAAATCGGAAAATCAAGGAAATTTTGCGAAAGCGCGCCATCGGTAATCGCCTCTGCGCATACTCCATAGCCCCGACCGCTAGCATCGCGTGCTCGCGTGAGTGCAAAATGGCGGATTAATGAGCAGTGGAGTTGTGGTGAAATTTTCTTGTTGAAAAATGGCTCTTCCTCCTGCAAAGGAAGGCGAAAAGACGTTGGCGCTTTGCCGCTTATCAGGTAACCATCTTAGTGTACTTTTGTAATGCGCTAAGCGCACTCGTGACCAAGCATGCGTTATGAATGAAATTAGAGGAACAGTCGATACAATTTTCGAGAAAAGATTTAAAAAGTAGTGATGCAGGATCGCAACATTACAATATATAGGCTTTATTTTCGTCCAGATGAGAAATTTCCCAATCTGGGATATAACTTTTTAATTACATTGTATAATGTAGATTGGTACACAAGCACATAGAAGCTTACACTGTATATGGTTATCAAATGTAACTTTTTTCAGCTCTTCCTGTACAATCTGTTTGTATTTCTGTATTCATTTACTCTATATTCTGAAGATCTTTGGGGTGGGTTTTCAAATTGTGATGTACGTGTATTGGTGCAGCCTTCCCTTATCATGCCATCAACCAGAAATATTTTGTTATTTATTTGTCTATTTATTTTAATTTTTGTCATAGCGCCATCCTCTCTTCGATTTGAGCCAGTTGGCCGATGGTATGAAGCTAACATTCATCGGCGTCAACATGGCCTTTCCTCGCACCACTCCAGCTCCAGTGCTAGTTCCAGTGCCAGCTCTGAGGGAGGTTATTCTTCAGATGAAGAAGATCACAGATTTCTCCTAACTTTGGATCCTACAGATTGGAAGGTAGAGTGTTAAAATTGGTAGACTATGAGTAGTCCCTCTTTCGCTTAGTCTTTCATGCGTGACGCGAAAGAACACTGCAAGAAAAAAATGGCCACGTGAAATCCTGGGGGCGAGGAGCACGCGAAAGGAGGCACCGCTGCCTAAGCCCAAGAGTTTGCCCTTTCACGGCCGAGTGATTTTTCGGTGTGGAATTTCTCATCTTGACGTCCTCTTATTATCGCCTGTTGTCAATAACCCTGGGAGATATCCTGAATAAAATTGCTCTACTCTACTCTTCAAGTAGCTAGGCAAAAACACATGCCACGAGAAGTATAGTACTGCACATGTTTGTACAGAAATGCCAGCCTTATGAAACTGAAATCTGGGAGATTGCCAATTTAACCTTCTTCCCCCGGAAAAAAAGTTGTTCAAAGTACACATGGAACTCCACCAAATTCGACGACAAAAATGCTTCAAATATCGAGAACAATTTTATCCTCAAGAAATGCCAATAACTGGCTAAAATATGTCTGAAAAATGTATATTATGCACATTCCTTCGTATTTACCGGGAGATTAGGTGACGTGTCAATATTGAAGACTGTGCAAAGATTTGCTCTACATGTACATCCAGGGGACTCCTGCATGTAGATCATAATCCAGGAGAGTTGATATACAGTGTCGATGCCTGTAGTCTACCTGAACATAATTATGTACATGTAGCACAAAACATCAGCATGCAAAGAAAGCTGTGTGGATTTTGCAGTTAAGGCAAACACTTGTGGATTCTGTCAAGTGAACTTTCTTGGGAGNAAATGTATATTATGCACATTCCTTCGTATTTTCCGGGAGATTAGGTGACGTGTCGATATTGAAGACTATGCAGAGATTTGCTCTACATGTACATCCAGGGGACTCCTGCATGTAGATCATAATCCAGGAGAATTGATATACGGTGTCGATGCCTGTAGACTACCTGAACATAACTATGTACATGTAGCACAAAACATCAGCATGCGAAGAAAGCTGTGTGGATTTTGCAGTTAAGGCAAACACTTGTGGATTCTGTCAAGTGAACTTTCTTGGGAGTATTTTTGAGGAAATTTAAATTACAGAAACATTTTTGGGCTACTGAGAATAACTTTTGGTTCTTTTGCATGCTGAATATTTTACTTTAACGTGGTCTCATTACATGTTGTCATAGGTAAGGTGCGTGGAGGCACAGTATTAGCCTCATGGTTAGTGCACTCACCACCAGATTGTGCCGTTCGGGTTCGAGTCCTGGCCGAGGACATTGTGTTGTGTTCTTGCACAAGACACATCACTCTCATAGTGCCTCTCTCCACCCAGGTGTATAAATGGGCACTGGCAAATTTAATGGTGTGGGGTAACCCTGCGATGGACTAGCATCCCATCCAGGGGGTGTAGAAATACTCCTGGTCACTCCTGGTTACATGCCTGCCTGATGGGCCACTTGGCTCATATGCAGACTATACCTTTTACATGTACTTTTACCCATGGGTAAGCTTCCGTCTGCTGTATTCAAGCCTACATTGTAGTGACATCAGGCTTTCATGTATCTCCCACTCCAGTAACAACGAGTGATGGAAAGTAGCAAATTATAGTTTTAATTAACATTATTTTGCCAGCTTTTACAACCATGATATGCAAAAAGGATATGTCAGCTACATTAGAGGGATGTGGGAGGGATTGTAAACTACATGTATGCTCAACTTAGTTGTATGCAAAATATGCTGTAAAATTAATAATCAGGTAGTTTTAAGAAAAATACTGAAAGTTATGAATTTTTAAATAATAGTTGTTAATAATATTGTATTTTATCTGTATCTCCAATTAGTGCTGTTGGCGCTAGAACGACTAGACACTTTAATAAACGATATGTATGTATGTATATATCAGGAGTTAATATGCCAGTACCCAAATTATTATACTCCTGAGAGGAGAAAAGCATAATGTAACAATCAAGTATCTTGCACATTAGAACACAACACAGTTATGCTGAGTAGGGCTTGAAACTGCACTGCTAATTCACTAATAATACAGTCAGTATGCCTTGCAACATACTGTATTAGTCTTACTACAGACGTATAATATTTTACAGCAACAAGATCATTATAGGGTTCTTGGACTTGGAAAACTCAGGCACAAGGCTACTGCAGGAGACATCAAGAAAGCATGTAACTACACCTTTATAATAATGTTTATGTAAATTTATGCATTGTGTTTTCTCATACCCTTACCAATGATGTACAAGTGGATCAGTGTTCTATTGGGTTTTAGTATAAATCTACTTGCGTTCTATCACGAATGCCGTTCTCTGATTGGCTAYGCTACTCGCTATCTATTCTGTGATAGATAGTGAGTAGCATAGCAGTGTGCACTTGTTGACAAAATGACGGTCTCTTCTTGGCGTTTTTGAAGTGTCTGTGAAGAGGAATTAGATAAAGTTTTGAACAACTAGTAGATTTTAACATACTGTACTAAAACAATCAGATTATTCACTCTTGATTTCTATACGTGATAGTTGACGAGTGCACAGCCCGAGTCAGCTATCATGCGATAGAAATCTCGAGCTCATAATCTAATTGTTTAGTGGAACCCTTCCCCCGAAAAAGTCAACATTTAATCCTTGTGGCCTATCTGACTGGCACAATGTATTTTCACTATACTCAGTGTTTGTGGTTTTAGCAGCATGAAAGAACTGCGGCTACTGTATGCCTGCTTCCCACTGGATAGATGTCCATTGCAAGGTTACCCTTCAGCATTAATTTTAATTGGCTGGTTTCCATAACCTACATGTAGCGAAGGCAGGCTTAATTAAATGAAACTCTTTTGTCTAAGCACACAACACACTCTGAGAAACTCGGGTTCAAAACCAGAACACTAGATTCAGAGTCCAGTTCACTGACCATCAGGCTACCATACATGTACTGCTCTCAAAATTTTATAATATTGTCCTCAAAGTGTTTTTGCTCAAGCAGTCATTTGTAATATGTAATACATGTAAAACTACTTTTTCAGATAATTTTTTAGCCAGTTCAGGCTCAAAGTTTTATAATTAATTGTCCCCAAAACGTTTGCGCTCAAGCAGTTACAAAGTACATGCACTGTAATATGTAATAAAACTACTATTACAGAGTCAACCAGCTCAGGCTTTCTTAACTGAGCACTCTTTTTTTTAGTGGTACTTAACTTTTTGGATGAATAATTCCACTTTGAGACCATACACTCCTGTACACACATTTTTTGATGGTGATTTATTTTCTTAAATAATTCTATTTTTCAGTTCGAAAGAAAGTGCTTCGACACCACCCAGACAAAAAGAAATCAACTGCAGGCTCTTCAGATAAAAAGCTTTCTGATGAAGATCTTTTTGCATGCATAACCATAGCAAATGACATTTTAAGCAACAAAGAGAAGCGGCAAGCTTATGATAGTGTAGATCCATTGTTTGATGATTCCATTCCATCTGCGAATGCCAACTCTAGAAGTAATTTTATTGACGTATTTGGCCCAGTGTTTGAAAGAAATGCAAGGTTAGTCAAAGTTATTACAGTTGAACATCCACTAATGGCAGCCTCCCTACAATGGGCATCTCTCCACAATGGTAAATGCTTTTTGTCCCAGGGGATGGTTCATACATTCGCTCTTATTTTAACCTCTCAGTATACAGTGGCCACCTCTCCACAATGGCAACAGCCAGTAAAGTGCATCCCAAACTACATGTACATGTACATGTACCAAAATAACCTCTCTATAATGGCCAGTTATTCAACGGCTGACGAATAGTGTCTACCAAACCCCATGTTACGTTGTAAAAGTTCATGAAAATTGATCCGCACTGCACGTCCTTGGTCTCTGTTTCTGTTTGGTTTCTGCAGTTTTAGTGATATATTTTGATTGTGTTAGGTATTTTCATGATACAGTCAGCATTTTTTAAATACATAAATGTTGTCCCCCCCCCCCCAAAAAAAAAAATGTCTGCAAGGCAGAAACTGTTCAAAGAAAATCCTGAATGGAGAGCCATNTATTTGTATGCTACAATGAGCATTTTTAAAAAATAGAAATTAATGTTGCAGCCATGAAAAAAGGTCTAATATTACACTTCTACATTCCCATAATGACCACCTCTCTATAACAGCCACTTTCATCTGTCCTCAAGGTGGTCACTGTAGAGAGGTTTGACTGTATCTTTTTATTTACTTGACATTAACATGTATTTTTGTAACTGAACACTTCATGAACTATCACATCTCAATTACAACTTCAGTACAGAATTTTTCAATACATTATAATCATTCTTTTCTTGGTAGTGGTTATTTTCCCCAAGGAAACCTGTCAGTTTTGCAAAAAGCCAGTCATTTATTTACTTTTACTTGTTCATTTTCCTTTTGCATCACAGATGGTCCAAAGTTCAACCAGTCCCACCATTAGGAGATTATAATTCTACATTTGAAGAAGTTGACAATTTTTATAGTTTTTGGTAAGTTACCAGTTGATTAGCATCAGGTTTCATCACTGGTGTGGACGTAGGACACAGGACACCCAAACACTGTATCAGCTGCAATATTTAATCATTCACATTCATGTAAAATAAATGTACTGTTATTTACCTGTGTTCCTGGGTCTGTTTGAGCCATTTAGAAGGGATTTGACCAGAGGCAAAGGTGGTTTACATTTCTTGTCTGCCACTTTGTGAATATGACGCTCTGATTACGTCTCGAGTTTTCATTACATCTTCATTAACTATGACCTCTTACACGTGTCCATTATGAAACCTGAGAATCTCTCCCCCGATGAGAGTTAATAGTTAATGACAATAATGCAAACTCGGTAATCAGAGCATCATATTGACAAAGTGGCAGACAAGATGGCTTCGCTTCTATTCAAATCCCCTCTAACAGATCAAAAAGAAACAGTAACACAGGTAAATGACAGTATATTTATTTTGCATGAATGTAAATGATTACATTATTGCTGATACAGTGTTTAGGTCCCCAAATTTTGGCTCATGCACATGCACCAAATTAAAATATTGTACATTTTTGTACCTACATGTAATATTGGGAAATCTATCTTTTTGGTTAAAAAAATAGTTTTTTCAGCATTGAAACTAAGGCCCATTTAGCATCACGGCAGCCAAAAACTGATTTAACCGTTAAAACAACAATTTTTGTGAAAATATGGGTGTTAAAGGGTTAAACAGTTACATTAACTATTAGCAACTCCAGATAATTTTTGAGCGTATTACCGGTAATTAACTGCTTTCCACTTTGAACAGTTTTCTTTTAGAACACATAGGCATGTCCATGTACTTTTATTGGACTGCAGCCCTATGCATGCATTGCAGACCTATGATACAAGGTCATTTTATTCTTGGTCCTTTTCGTTTACATGTAGGTATAATTTTGATTCATGGAGAGAGTATTCCTATCTTGATGAAGAAGAAAAAGAAAAAGGAGAGAAGTAAGTAATCCAAATCACATGGTAAGGCAAAGAAGATTGATATTATTCACTGAGGTCAACGAGATGTCTTATCTCTTTGAATTAAAAAGGTCTTTTCTTTTGTACGTGTAACAGGCATTTTTGAATTTTCCATGAACAAGTTAAGAGAATGTAGTATGAATTTGAATCATTACTTGAGTGATAAAGGATGAAACGCTTGTGACAACCTTTGTTTATTTGCAGCCGTGATGAGAGAAGATGGATTGAAAAGCAGAACAAAGTGATGAGACAAAAGCGGAAAAAGGAAGAAGTCGCTCGTATTAGGAATCTAATTGGTAAGGACAAAGCCTCTTATTCTGCTAAGCTAATTCTATGGAAAAACACATTGTGAACTGACCTGTGTAGGACCAGACACATTACCGACACACCACCGACACACTACCAACACGTTAGCCTCTTCCAGGCGTTCAGTTAGTTGCGCGTTGGCCGAATCACTACCAACGCGTCCACCGACCCGAAAATAAAATAAAGAATAAGACAAAAATGAAATAAAATCCTTAACCTTCCTCAACAGATGAAAAGTATTCGTTGACAATGCCGTTATAGTCACTTTGCTCTTCTTTTGATGTGTGTTGTACAGTGCCATTTTTTAACGTAATATGTCAAACACGAAAAACCATGTCTCACCACATTCTCAAACACCGAGACGAGAGTTGAAAAAACCTTTTTTAGTACCTTAAGTACTGGTTTGTACTATTTCATGGCGGAAAACAAAAATGATATAATAGCGATTCCCCTAATTAATTTGACATGCAAGGAATTTCACATCAGAAAAAAATCTTGTAGGGGCAACCGAGAGACAAAGTTGCATTCTGCGCACTTTTTTAATCAATGGAAACGATGAGAAAGAACCACTGCCTGTAAATATGGAAAATCCGACGACACGACCGAAAATTCGAATTTTCTTTCATTGCGTCTATTACCGTTCGCGACCTTTTTGTACATTTGCCGTTTTCTTTTGATTTTCGGTCTGTCGGCCTTTCTTTGCTTCACACGGGTTTCCTATTAAAGGACACTTGGTGCATAAGTGCTGTGTCATTAGGAGGAACTTTAAGTAGAGTAAAGCCGTTTGACTGTGCTATTACAAATTATTTGAGAGGTCGTTAAAAGGTCTGCATGGTTTCCACTGTTATCTTTATGTGGCTTTGTTGATAGCCTGTAATGCAAGCGTATTTTGGCGAGCGATCGAGCGCATTGTGAGAAAGCGAGCGCCAGTTTGGATTCAAACTCGGAAGAGACTTGGGGAGAGACGAAAAGGTGTCCTAGGGAGTGGGTGTTAGGCTGAAAGAGGAGTAACGAGCTAATACCGCTGTAATTCGTGAATACACGGAAAACGCCTGCACTGTAGGCTACTTTGTTGAGTATGACACTGTAATTTGGCATGTGCTTGCGGTGCACTTTTTTAGCTTCATGACATGTTGTTGACAGATTAATGACAGGTTAATTATAAGGGGGCTGAGCGGCGGCTTCAATACTTTGTCTACAGACTCTCCCCTTCTCTCTCTCCCCATTTCCCCCTTCTCTCCTCTCTCTTCTATCTTCTTTCCTCCCGCTTTCTCTTCGCTCCGTCCTTGACTGTTGATCCCGTTCACAGGCTAACACTTCCGACACACTACTGACACACTACTGCGACCGACACATTACCGACGCGTCGGCCGAAATACTTACCAGATTCTTTACCTTTACCGAAAGTTGCACGGACAAGTTGAGTGAACTTCTATCCAGATCTGAAAAAGTTCTTGTTTAGAACGCACAAAGCTCATTGCGTTCGATCCGTATGTCTTGAGTTCAAGCCAGGAGCCATAATCGGGGACGGAGACCGTAAGTCTTGGGATCCGCGCGCACCTATGATATGGGACAATTTTTCTATTTTTAGAACAAATTGCGCC